AGCAACATTTTGCTTTTAAATAATGAATTTTAAACATAATATATAACCAATACGTCCTATAATATCGGCCACACTTATTTAGTTATTGGATTTATTTAATTTTCAGTAAAAATTTTATTATTATTTCACAAAATTGCTATCTTTCTTAGCTTAATAGTTTAGCTCTCTCTCTCTCTCTCTCTCTCTCTCTCTAGCTTTATAACATAATTGCATCTTTCTTCATGAAAATTTCGATTTAGGATAGAGGATACCTTTCAACACATACTCGGCCATGTATGAAAGACACTTATGCCATTTTCCCTAACCCCCATAGGGGGTTTATTAGATTTGCCAAATATTTTTAACGCATGAAGTTATGCATCGGAGATCCCATAAACTGCGAACTAATAAATCTCCCCATTTATCCATCACGATTATAAGCTCACAGACTTGTTTATAAAGCTCACCTTGACCTCAAATCTTCTCTTCTACCAATTCTGCAGTGCTAGACATGTCTAACCTTCTATCAGTCATCATCATAACCTTAAAGTGTTGTTTAGATAACTCAATTGATCTCACTTTTCTATTTTATCAATCCTATAGGTTTAGACATATCTGTCCCTCTGTCCATCATGAGCGAAAACTTTTAAAATCTTGTTTAGAAAAAAATAATTGCTCTCAAAACTTTTCTTTTATCAAGCCTATCAAATTTCATGAATCGTATATATGTGGACATATCTGTCCGTCTGTCGATCATGACCGCAATCTTATAATCTTGTTTAGAAAACCTAATTGATCTCAAAGCTTTTCTTTCATCAAGCTTATCAGATTTTTTCAGTCCTATAGTCCAGCAAAATAAAATCGAGAATCAGCCAAGACTGACAGTTCCCTTCGTCATCTACAGTTCTTAAGTGTAAAATGGACGCTTCAAATTTTCATTAGGAAAGTGTTTGTAATAAATTCATAGATCAGTTAAATCAGACTTCATGCGAAAAGTTGGTGGATGTTTTTTCCAAAATGATGGACATTTTCTCTTGTATGCTTTGTACTAGTTAAGATGATGTGGCGGAAAGTTAGCAAAAGAATTCAACTTAGTTGATTTCAATTGCCGCTCGTTGGAAGTTGTAGTCAGCTTTTGCTCTATATATTCCGATATATATCCTCTACTGGGTTGATAAATTTTCAAAATCATTGATTACAACTCGGATGTCTAGACCAATGGTAACGGTAACGGTCCAAGAGCTACGCATCTCTTTGCCCGAGCTCACCTTAATATTGCTGACTTATATTTATAACATTTGTCACTCAGCTACTGTGTCACCGTAGCTCACTCTCTATTGAGTGAGTGACTTTATAATGGAAAACGGTAAACATAAGCCATCGATTTTCTCCTCTTTTGAAGTTTTCACTCTTCATCATGAAAGTGATAGAAATCGGCTTTTCCTTATAAAGCATGCATAAAACAGTAATCTTCGCTTCTCTACCTTGCATTCACACATTTTTCCCAAAAATGTTTCACTTTGACTTCTGGACCTCTAAACGCTTTGAAGACAACTTGTCCTTGCAATCAATATCGATTGCACAGTTGCATTTGATACGCACGATTGCAATTGAAGTTTATTCAATAAGCTCCCTGTTTATCTTCTTTTACCCTTTGTTTGGTGCGCAAATTTCTTTAAAATTGTTAGTTTTTCTTAATTCCAAGTCAACAACTTGTTGGGCATCTTTTGTTTGACCCACTAAACTAATATTATTTCCATTATTTCGCATATATTTTTGCCAAAGTTCATGTCTAGCAATTTTTATTATGCGCGATAATATACGAAGTAGTTCCAAGACGCATTTACTATGTGCGATATTTTGGAGTAACATCTATCGATTTAACTCATATTTCATTTTGTGCTAGAAAAGTTCAATTCTTAGTTAAATTCTTAATCTATATTTATTATATAGGCAAACGAGGCAATGGCCCTGGCAAACATGGGCACAGAATCAAAGAACAAACGAGAGAAAGAGATAAAGCAAGAGTTCATTACTTCAACACTGCCATCACATTTTATTCGTCTTTAATGAGTTACTATCTTACATACATTACACTGTGTTTACATGAAATTTTGAACAAAATCAATGCATAGGTATGGTTGCTTATTGCACGCCTCGCCATTAATGGATAGATATCGCAATATGAAATTCATACAAGAATCTTGAAGTAGAGGTCGCGGTGTAAATAAATTTCAGTGACAATGTACTCGGCACGTATTTGTTTCGCTTATGTGTAAGTCGTTTGCTTGCCCTTAAATTCGATATATCAAAGGATATAAACAACAACGTCAAAAGTCAGAAGTTGTAGGATTACCTTTTACGGTAAATCGAACCGTAAGCATTAATATTTTTTTACTTCGCTGGTATATCCTGAAGCCAAGCATCCAACACATAACGCAAATGTTCGAAAGACTTTGATTTTTTTTTATTATGGGCAGATTTATGGGCCGATATGTAACCTATACAATTCTTAGTCGACTAAATTATATCGATATATTATTTGGTCGTCGTAATCGTAATCGTTCACTTTCTAAAGACGCATCTACAAGAAGAAGAGCTTCTTAGTATACTAAGATATTTTGATAAAATTGGGTACGCCGACGTATTTTCGGCCAAAGACGCGGCTACTTTTTCGACCACTTCTCATTTTGAAAAGTCTTTCTATAAAATAGTATAAGATATTGTAAATAACTGCATTAAGTGAAGTAGTGCTGGGTATTTAATGGTCGGCCGTGCTCGACTGTAATGTTTTTACTTGTTTTGTTATGTTTTAAGTTCTTTGAGCGATAGGTTCTTTCCAGGGGCGATAAAAACTAGAAATTTTTCATCATTGAATCGCTTATCGCATCTTGCTTTCAATAATACACTCGCGAAATAGTCGTGTACTGTATACCTGCTGCTCCTACCTCAAAACAGACAGAGACATAGTTTACATCAAATGTCATTTTTCCAGAAGAGAATTAATTCTTTGCTTACAGGGTGCACTTTGGGAAATTGACATTTAACGGATGAATATGGAAGGAATATTTTTATTATTATTATTATTATGATTTTGAATACAGATTCCCTTGGGATGCCCTTTTTAAAAGAAATGAGAAAATTAGTGCAACCCCAATAATCGATGATGGATATGTTTTATGAATAATCGAAATGATTAAAAATTATTCAAATTAAAAAAATTTTAATGAATTTTTGTAACAGCAGAGAGAGAGAGAGAGAGAGGAAAAGGTTTTTCGAAAAGCATTTCCTAGAGTGTTCGACATGTTGAATGACAAAACTAAATGATATTTCCTAACATGTATTTTAGATGCTATTAAGCAAAACTTATGATAATTATTTGCATTATTAAACTGTTTTGGCAATTTTTGATAGGAACCTTTTTATTCATATTACTCTGGTTGCTTTATTATTTTTTTTTTTTTCTTATTTATTTGCCATTTAAAATATTTTCATCACGTTCATCTATTAAGATATTTTAATGTTTTCAAATAAATCGAAAACAAGTAAGGAATGTATAACAGCTTTCAAGCTATCGAATCTTAGATATCCACCACCTCAACTACATTGTCGATAAAGGCCTTTCAAGCCCCGTACGATATACAAAATCAGACACTTATTCATTTCATTCGTACAATGCATGCTTGTAGACGTTTGTGACCAACTGAGAGTATACTTCAGGCCGTCCAATCAATTGTAAGCATTGCAGTTGACCCGATTAAAACTATGTTTAGCCACCAACTGTCAACTGAAGACTGAATCAATAGTAATCATTTTAACGGCCGTAAAAACGGGAGAGGGAACTTCGCACCCAAAATCAAAGCTAATCCTTAATAAAACCTTAAATAAGCGTAAGTAATTGATAAATTAGACTGGTAACTAGACGGATGTGATTTGACAGATATATATCGTACATATATTATATATGATCGATAAATATATATATATATATATATATATATATATATATATATATATAGATTTTACAGTGTCTCTTATCCGGTCTTCAAATAGAATTGGGAAAGCTTGCATGGCTCTAACCTTTGATAGAGGCTAGAATAAGTGAAATATATTAGCGATTTTATCATTTCAAGCGCAATTTAATAAGCAATTAAACTATAATGAATCAATAATTTCTTTAGTTAAAAAAAAAAATTCCGACTTGAATAAAATGTGTAGACTTTTGTAATAAAATGGCGATAAATTGTAGGCATAAGGCTATGAAGAAATCTTGCGATGCAATAATAATAACGCAAATGAAAATATTAAATGAAATAAATTGAATTGAAATGAAGAAGCATTTAGTGTGTTAGTGTTAAGAAAAAAGCGTAAGAAGAAGAAGAACGATGAGTTGTGAATTAAATTTTTTTTTTTTTTTTTTTTGGCATTTTAACAGCAATACGCATTATGGTCTTCACTTTCATTGTAAGTCACCGTCTGCACATATATACGTACTCGCAAGTACAAGACCTACGTATCTTAGCGATTAATGTAGATACGTTATGTATATGCATATTAGCTTAAACTTAAACGCTAATGTGCGAACACTAATACAAGCCGTGGTCGTTTTACCCGATTTACGTGACAGAAATTCTCAATTTCTCATTATTATAAGAAAACGCGTGTTATTTAGCGACTTCTTACGTTGTCGCCGAATCACCTTCGAAATTGTGTTGTTGTTATTGTTGTTCTTGTTTGCTTGTATTGTACATATAGTTTTTTCATTTAAATGTAGTGCATCAGAAGAGTCTTTTTTTTTTTTGATTTTTGGTTTTTTTTTTTTTTTTTTTTTTTGTGAGGGTCACAAACCACGCAGAAGAAGTTCAATTGAATAAAAAAAGATACCTATGTTAGTTATAAATATTTTATTTAAAAGTTTTATAAATTTTTTTTTTTTTTTTTTTTTGCTTTTATTTTTATTATTTTTAATACCCTTTCTGTTTCGATAACTTTAATATAAATAGCCAAACAATTATGGTAACATTATGTCAGTACAATTTTAAACAATCACGAGTGATAACATAAAAATCATCAGCTTAAGCAAACAATGAGCCCGTTTACGGTATGTATTTTCTTGTAAATGAAAAAAGCCCAAGTCAATGCGGACCTTTTTCTCGATTCACCTTAACAAATGTGAATTAGCTTACTCCGCAAGATTAAATCGGGATTAATAATAACATGTTACGTTGCAGATTGCTGCTATTCTTTCCACTTTGGCTTTGTCTGTCAATGCCGGTTTGGCGCCAGTTGCCCCCGTTGCTGCATCATTAACATATGCTACTGCTCCTTACGCTGCTCCGTATTTTGCGGCTCCCGCCGCCTACACAAGTCCCTTTATTGCTAAAACTTTTGCTGCTGCCCCTGCTTTCGCCGCACCGGCACCTTATGTAACTGCACCGGTTGCCAGAGCTTTTACTGCCGCCCCCGCATCCGTGATCGCCACTAATCCTGCTTCAATTGTCGTTAAAGCCGCGCCCGTTTTAGCTGCCCCTTCAGCTCCTTTAGTTGCGGCTGCCCCAGCTCCAGCAGTTTTGGCCAAAGCGGCCCCAGTTGTTGCAGCCCCAATTGCAGCTGCACCACTTATAACAAAGGCCGCTCTTGCTGAACCTGAAGTTGTAGATGCTCATCCGCAATACAAATTCGCCTACGATGTTCAGGATACTTTAACCGGCGACTCTAAAACTCAAGAAGAAAGCCGTGATGGTGATATAGTGCGCGGATCTTATTCTCTTATTGAACCTGATGGCTCTCGACGCATTGTCAACTACTACGCTGATCCTGTCAATGGTTTTAATGCCGTCGTTCAAAAGGATGTGCCTGTAGCCGCCGTAGCCCCGATTGTTGCTGCCAAAACTATAGCTGCACCGCTCGCAGCTGCACCAGCTCCTTTAGTTGCTGCTGCTCCAGCTCCGGTTGTTGCCAACACATTCAACGCTCCCATTGTTGCCTAAATTTAACTCCTACACAATCGATCAATTATTAGTGATGAGAAATCGTAGCTAACACCAGCATCCTAACCATTTATACTTTTGTGCTGTCTTGTCTGATTCCAAATTACTTATACTTATAAATCTTCTTATGCACCGCCTCTCTATTCCTTGCCATCGAAAATAAACATCGCTTTAAGTAGGAGAAACTAGTCATTTTTATGGATCAAATTAACCCTTCGACCGATGCTGGTAAACAAGAGCAACTGCTAAGCGAAGTCTCATTGTATATAATTATACTTATTGCTGCTTCTTGTAGAAATTTACTTTCATCAATATAACAAAATAAAAAAATTAAGATAAAAAGGCAAAAAATTCAAAAAAATACAATTTCTTAAAAAAAAACATTTTTTTTAAAAGGAAAAAAAATATTTTAATTTGGTCTGATCCGCCTGAGTAGCCGAGGGCGAGGAATCTCGACTAGCAAGTCAATGGTCGTGGGTTCGAATCTCAAGTGCGGTAGAGTTTTCAATAAAAGCCGATAGCCTTAGCTGCTAGTGCTTTTAAGAGTTTATTTAGTCTTAGAATTTATTTCTCTGGCGAAATTAATAATAATAATAATAATAATAATAATAAATTTGGTCTGCATGCGCGTCGATGTCATTTCTTATTTTGTTAATCGCATTCCGTTTGAAATTTAAGGGGTTAAAGACAACTTTTATGACCGACAAACTGTCTACACTGCTGACCGTTTTACGTTTAGGTTAGCGAGCAAGATTTGCGGCCTGAAGGATAGCCGTAAACGTTGGCACACTTTCGTGTAAGATGCGATCAGTTTGGACTTGCCCTGCGTAAGCCGGGGATAGGTTATCACTCTTAGAGCCGCCTGTAAAAAGAGGATGCCAATCATTCTTTTCCAAAGGGTTAGTTTTCTCTGCCTTCAGTTCTCCGCAGACGAGTTTTGGCGCATATTCTCTTTTGCATGGTGAAAATGAAATATCGCAACAGTTGACGTTTTTAAGCCTACGCGTGTTAATCCCATGTATGCGGCAAATGTTAGGGGAATACATTTACATAGGAGTTAATTGCGCCCTCATTCTTTTGGTAATACGACCCTTTTGAATATCTTCGCCGGCATTGGGTATTTTCGGGATAATTGTGGCTTATTGTTTTTTTAACTATTTTTTAATGTTGGAAGGACCGGTCTCGAAAATAATATTGTTTTGTATTTTTGTTGAATAGATTCGAATTTTTCTATCAATTACTTCTCCATATTTTATATTCGGCTTATTTATGTATTTAGTTTTCTTCGTCGACCGATGAAATCAGAAATATTTCATCGTAAATGCAACGAACGAAAGCCAAATTCCATCACGACCACCATCAACCCAAAACATGATCTTATCGTACAACAGGTCAATAACGAGAACCGTAAATAGACCCCTGACTTCTTACGATGACATTGAAGCCTATCTTTCATCTATTCATTTATAAGCTAATGTTCTTGGGAAGACAGCTGTCTCTAATAGAGTTAAAAGATCATTCATCTCCATACTTTTTATAAAGCAGGATTTTTCGATTTTACTCCTTTGCATTCGAAGTTTTTTTTCACTCGTATTACAATCCGCGAGCCGTGACCGTCATTTGTCGCCAACAGCGAAACACGCGAATATTAATTTTTACGATTTGTTTTTGTTTTTATGTTAAGAACTGCAAATTATTTACAATGTCTCCGTAGCGGAGCCATCGAGTTTGAAGACCAATTTTAAATGGCTCCGCTGCGAAGACCTCAAGTGCAACGGTTTAAGAAATGCAACCAAGATGTTTGTTTTTAATACGTTTTGTCTTTCTTTTACACGAATGAAAGGAATAAACATTTTGTAAATGTGATCCTTCACAGCGCCTATGTCAACTAATCCGTTACGAGTTTTTTTTTACTTACTTTATTTATAGTCTACCTATTCCGCGTAATTATCTTTGCTTTAAAATCATGAATTTTAACGGTTACCGTTGAAAGAGGCATTCCGAAGAATGTGAAAGCTTTATAATCGTATAAGGATACATTCGAGGATCGAAATGATTAATTTGACGATTTATATAAATAATTTAATTTAATTTAATTTTTTTTTTTTTTTTTTTTGTTTTTAGAAAAACAATCGAAGAATATTGGACTTTATCAAATCATGAGAATACCGCTAGAATGCGACTTAAACTGGAACCGCAGCTATATCCGAATACCCATGAAAACGCTTCGAAATTAAGAGACAATGCTACAAATCATTACGATGCCAAGTAAGTGAAAGCATTTTCACATATCTAAGCAATCGTTATAGCGTAGCGTTCGCTCTTAATCGTAGAGAAATATCCGAGTTTGATTCGACCATAAAGAATGTAGTTGTTCGAGATTTTCTCGCTAACGATGAAAATTCACAATTGGAAGAAGACTTACGGCTAACGATCGAGGCGCAATCGCAGCAAGATGTGACTTTAGAAAAGTTACTAATATCGCAAGAATGCGAACTAATAACGTTAATGACCAAAGTTAAGGGCAGAATTGAAGTCAATCAAACCCTATTTACGTTCATCGATTTAAGTCCACCCGCTGACGATGGCTCGAAACATGATTTTAGGTAAAAAATCATTTAGATAACGAATCAATTTATTTAATTCATTCATATGCAAATTATTTACTTATTTATATTCACTGAGTTTCTTCCCTTTTTAGATTTTCTATAAATAAAATACGTGAGGTGCATTTACGCAAATACAATTTAAGACGTAGCGCGTTGGAAATTTTCCTTATAGACCAGACAAGCTATTTTTTGAATTTCACTACAAAAGTGAGAGATTTTGAAAAATTCAATTTGCATTTAGAAATATTGTGAGGGCCTTTCGGCCGATCATCTGGGGCTGGGGTAGCTCAGGAAGCGGCGGCCCAGGAAAACACAAGAAAATTTATATTCACAGAGATCTTTATTATTCACTCTTAAATTTATAATTCTTCCAACTAAGTCTATCAAACAAACACTCTAAACCACGACTAACTCTCAACGACTCTAAACCAGGACTAACTCTAAATTATTCTCACTTATTCTACTCTACGCTAGTCTTAACCTATTGTTATTCTACACTCTAATCATATTCTTATTCTATTCTTATACTATTCCTATCCTATTCTTATTTTGTTCTTAATCTATTCCTATCCTATTCTTAGTCTATTCTTCATCTATTCCTATGCCAACTTACTCTCTAACTTAAACTAGCACTCTCTCTCCCCCACCAGAGACGGTGAACTCGTGAGGCTAAAACGAGGGACGACTTTCGGTCCTCACAATATATATATGTATATGTGTGTTCTTATTTGAAATTTTTTTTGAAATAACTTTAGACTCGCAATAAAATATTTTCAAAAATTTTGAGCCTACAACCTCCGAATATTCTATATGGCTCTGGCAGATCACCAGCTGAATTATTAAAAACATCTGGATTAACACAGAAATGGATGAACAGAGAAATATCGAATTTTGAATATTTAATGTATTTGAATACCATAGCAGGTAAATGAATTACAATAATTGTTAGCATAATTTTGATTCTGTAGAATGTTCCTCTTATCATTTTTTGTTTTTTTTTTTTTTTTTTTTTTTGCTTTAAACTAAGGACGTTCATATAACGATCTCAGTCAATACCCAGTCTTCCCTTGGATTTTAGCCGACTATACAAGTGACATATTAGATTTAACCGATCCAAAGTCGTTTCGTGATTTATCTAAACCGATTGGTGTGGTAAGTAATTCGCGTTGCGTTTCGTCTGTTACGATTTAATTCTGTAAATATCTTCTTTTTTTTTCATAGGTTAATCCAAAAAACGAAGTAGAAGTACGTTCCAAGTATGATTCGTTTGAGGATCCTTCTGGCGCCATACCGAAATTTCATTATGGTACCCATTACTCAAATTCAGCTGGTGTATTACATTATTTGTTACGCGTTGAACCGTTTACCTCGCTGCACATTGAATTGCAAAGCGGTCGCTTCGATGTTGCTGATCGTCAATTTCATTCAATACCTCAAACATGGAAATTATTAATGGATAACCCAAACGATGTTAAGGAACTAATACCGGAATTTTTTTATTTTCCCGAATTCCTGAAAAACATGAACAAGTAAGCTATTGATTGACGGATTGACTTTCGCAGTGTCAATTCCACATTTATTTATAACGTGACTTACGGCTATATCTCTATCAGATTTGATTTGGGTCATTTACAAATTACTAAGGAAAAAGTTGACGATGTTATTTTGCCTTCTTGGGCCACCACACCCGAAGAATTTATAGCCATACATCGCCGAGCATTAGAATCGGAATATGTTAGTCAAAATTTGCATCATTGGATTGATTTAATATTTGGGTAAGTGGAAACGTTTTACTTAGAGGCTTTTACTACAATTAGTCTTAACGGCAATATATTCATTCGCAGCTACAAACAAAAAGGTCCCAAAGCTGTAGAAGCTTTGAATGTATTCTATTACTGCTCTTATGAGGGTGCAGTAGATTTAGATAAAATCACTAAACCAGTCGAGAGAGAAGCTGTCGAAGGTAAATTAATATGTACATGTACTGGCAGGTATTCAAAGATACAGGTATAAAGTTTATAACACTCAACGTGATTCTCTTGAATATCAATAAATGATCGTTTGTTGTTCAAACGTTCAGGCTTAAAACTCTGGCGTAGCTTCATCTTTAAAATGCTGTCAATTAGAATTTATTCACGTTTCAGTGCCATTTGCAACAATCATTCTCACTTTACCGAGTTGACTGCAAAGCCGTTAATCTATTGTGAAAGTAGAAACTTGGGCCTCCTTAACCGTTTGAGTACCAGACGGTATTGAAAAAACAGTGTCGAAGAAAGAGCGGTTAAGAATACTTGGTCAAAGTTGTCTTAGGGGCGGCAGCCATTAGAAGCTTATAGGTAGACGGATTACGAGGGTCGAAGACGGTTCTTGTTATCTTGTTCGAGAACTTAATACCCCACTTGTTAGGCCATAGCTTAATGGCTTAAGTGGCATTTAGAAACGCTGAGCTTAAACTCAAACATTGTTTATCTTAAAACTAAGTGTCTAAGGCAAGTGCATCTTGTCCTATTAGCAAAAATTGGCAAACATATGCGAGATATATTGGTCGAATCAATTGGAATTGTCTGCAGTTTTTTGAGAGATCCGTAGAGTAAATATTAGAATTTTTAATTTTTGGCAAAAAGCATTGACATCTTTAGCAACCTTTGATTGCACATTGAGTCAGTTAAAAGTCAGTCAAGCTCCTATAATTAGAGTCGTGAGTGTCAGCTAAAGCCGAAAATCGCATTGAATGCATTGAAAATCGGAGAAACTAAAGATTCGCATCTTTTGATAGTGGGTGTAAAAAAAATGATATTTTAAAAAATATATTAAGACAAGTTTGTACCTATTGAAATTACATTTGAAAATTTTATGGGCTTTCAAAGCTTTCACGATCTGGAAAAGAACTACGAATATAATCAATTATCATTTCGTTTAAAAAAGTTTAACGCAAATAGGATTTTGACCTCAAACGATTAAATTTATTTAAAATCTTGTATTGTTACACTTTTGTAAAAATCATGATAAGTCAAAGTTAGGAAATAGCTCAAGTTTAAGTACCATGATATAAAAAAATAAAGTCGTAAAGCAAAAACAGCAAGCACTTTCACATCATTTTTTAATTTATATTTAATCTTTGCTATTCTAAGGTATGATTAATAATTTCGGTCAAGTACCATCGCAACTTATGAGGGAACCTCATCCGCGTCGCCTTACTCAAGAAGAGACGGCGGTAAAGCTGCTAAGAGGCGAACTAAAACGACCTGACTTAACGCAATTTCTTGATAAGATTGTACAATATTACTGCGAAATTTCAACACCCAAAGATCCGATAGTCTATTTGAGTCCACCACGTAGCCCACCAAGATCGTTTTTGCAATTAAGTCCAGATATGTTAGTTAGCATTTCAAAGTCCTGCATTTTGGGTTGCCATTCATGGATGTGTTATGATAAGGAAAGAGGTTTCTTGCTGGAAATAGATGCTACTACAACAAATTTAAAGTAAGTTTATAAAAACATTACATATATATTATATAAATATAATTTTAAAATGAATTCATAATCTATTTACGACGATTCAAAAGAAATCGTAAACGTATATTTGGTCCTTTACATCCCTCACAAGCGCCTCACTCGCAGATGTTTGCTATCAGTACGGATGGCAAGCTGTTGTATGCTGGCGGCATATGGGACAATTCGTTACGAGTGTATAATCTACACAAAGGCAAATCGATAGCTTCGGTCACCAGACATTTAGGTATAATTGAAAAAAATAGCAAAAAAGATATACGCGTGTAACGGTTTTGTTTTCTGTTTTCTGTTTTCTGTTTTTTTTTTTTTCTTTCCTCTTATTACAGATATTATAACTTGTCTGGCTTTGGATAATTGTGGTTCTTATTTGGTTACCGGTTCTCGCGATTGCACCTGCATTATATGGAGCATTCAAGCTTCACATGTCTATGGTGGTAGTGGTATTGCTGGTAGCAGTAGTGCTAATGTCACATCAAATATACCCGTACATGCCTTAACTAGCCAGACTAACTTACAATCAGTTATGCAATTGAATTCGCAAAACAGTTTCTCACCTAAACCATTGACAACATTGTACGGTCATGATGGTGCGATTTCAAGTGTAGCCATCTATACTGAACTAGATATGGTAGTTTCGGGCTCTTTGGTAAGTTATTTCAATGTAGTAATTTTTCAAAAAATTATCGGCAATTTACCGTACAGGATGGAACCGTCAATATTTACACCATACAAGATGGTCAGTTCGTACGCACACTTAAGCCAATTGGTTGCACAGAATTTTGTGTGCAAATTTCTTATGTCACGGTTTCGTATCATGGTAAGTTTTTAAAGATAAATGAAAATATAAGCCTAAAAGTAGGCAATCTTTTAGAGCAAATTAAGTTTATTAGCGAAGAAGTTCTTCTTGATTTTTTTAACATTAAAAAGTAGATGTCATTAATTGAAAGCTTGATATTATGTATGCATGGAGTGTTTTCGTATAGCCTTCAAAAGGTTATTTGCATATTATCTATCCCTTGAGTTGCAAAACAGCCTATTTATATAGCTTTGGATCCGGTCTGCATATCTCGTATGTTCGTCTCTGGTATGAGATTGTTAGTCGATTTAGTCATTTTCATCGATTCGCCATTTGTTGAGATTATCAAGTTTACTAGGAAACTGGAAAGGAAAGCCGAAAGTTTCTTTATATCTTCGCGATCTGAACACAAACGCAAACATAAAAACTCAAATAAAAATGAATTATTATGCTTTCCATAAATGTTTTTTTCACTGAGACTTTCAGACAGTTTTTCCTTTTCAATACACAAAAGAACTTTTGCCCTGGCCTTGTGTCCACGGTGGTAGTTAGGAAGAATTAGAAATAGTAATAAGTGAGAGGAAAAAATGTGTAGTATTATATATACGTTCAACGTGAAAGTGAGACGAAAAAATAAAACAAACGACCTGCACTATCGTGTTGCATGGTTCATGGGCAATTCCAGAACGATCGGGTGAGAATGCTGAAAAATACTTCAAGAACTTTGTTGGGGGATAAATCTAACTCTTTAGATACCTGTACGCAAGCATAACACAGCCCAGGTTACCCAGTCGGATATTAGCGGTGAAAACGGTGCGGATATCGACTGCACCGGATCAAAAAAACATATCCTTTACAGCTGCTTACAACACTTCGATCACATGTTCTGCATGTCCAGCCAACACCAATTAATATTCCGAACATCAAGCACTGCCGGCTCTTCTACATCTACAAAGGAAAGTGGGCTCTTGCGTCACAAGACACTTGTTCCTCGCTTGGCCCTATTCCTTTGCTTGAGTTCATTCAGATACTTTGCTAAAGTCATGCAGCGATTCGGACAAAAGATAATGCCGCCGTTAGGCTAGAATAGAGTTTACTTTGGTCATAGCTCATAGGTGTAGTGAGTGCTTAGTTGGTAAGTTGGTGGCATAACACTCACCGGATGAGCATACACCCGCTAGGCTTCAGCTACCGCCTCCCTATCTTGTTCTCTTTGCTCACTCCTTTCTGACCGACACCATGTCATATGACTAGGGAGCGTACCTTAAGGGATTGGTCAGAATGAAAATATTGGTCAGGTTAAAAATTGGCATCAATATGTAACACAAAAATAAGTTGTATTTGCATATATCATTTGGGCGCTGGGAGGTGGGCGTCTGCAAACATAAATGAAAAAAAAAAAAACAATTGAAGTCGCTGTTTAAAAATTAAAGTGGCGATTTCTACGTTGCCAGTCCTCTCTCGCAAAAAAAAAAAAAATGTTAGAATGATGATATGGATTACTGCGAGATTTATTTGCAAAGCGATATATGCAAAATCAATGTGGCCTTGAATAATATTGTAATGTTTTAGCACTCCGCCTCTATCCTCTGTTTCTAACGCACGACTTTGAAAATTGGACATTTTCTTAAACACTACAAGATCTTTAAAATAAAGGCACCTGTCAGCTCGTTTGCAAATCGACATAGACGACATGGTCTTTTACGCATCAAAATTTCTTTGCTTTACTGTCATAGATAACAACGGCTCCGCTACTTACAAACTGTATAACAGTGGGTAACTGTTCAGCCTGATTGCGATACTGAGCTAACCTTATCCCACCTTCTGTGATGGGTATTCGAAATGCTCTGTTTAGTCGCAGAAACCTTTTCTATGCTTTTTAACGCGATCATAATGTGTTGCTGAGTTAAAGTAAATGTTTTTCGCTCAAAGTTTCTAATGCTTTGAATGAGTTGGAAATAAATGCTTGCACCATCGTTATGGTTCAAGCAATAATAAATTTATTTTCTGATAGAATAATTTCACCCTATCTCTCAAGATTACCTCTCGTTCTTCACCCATTGCAAATGATTAGCCGTAGTGTTATCGTTGGGGATCGCACGCAAACGCCGAATGAATAATTATTAATTTTTAAGGTTAATTTGTTTTTTATAAATCTTTGCTCTCCTAACCTTTAAATTTGTTGTAATAATCTAAAGCACAAATTAAATTTTTTTTTTTTTTTTAAGTTCTCATTAATAAAAATGTTCTCGTTATCAATTTGACATTTCTATGAGTCTTTTATGATGAATCAAAATATAAGTTGAGTAAAAAAAAAAAATAAATAAATAAATAAAAAAAAGAAAAAAATGCAAAACTTTATTTTGTTTTGCTAAGTCAGAGTGATAGACAGGAAGATAGATAGATAGTCGTCTTATTAGAGTGACACACCCCAAGTCTTTATTATCAAAAATTGTATATTAATTCAAAACAAAATTTATACATATTGACGTCAAATTTTTTGAATTTTATACTTTATTATTGTTGTATTTTGTACATAAATTTTTATGAAATATTTTTCACTGCTTCACTTTTATAACTCATTATAAATAATGAGTGAAAAAAAAATCTCGTTTTAATAATCACGTGACTTTTCACCAACAATTTCATTATATATTGTAGATATACATATATATATATATATATATATATAGCTTGTAAATAACGAAAATGTGTGATCTGTTTAATCACATATACATGCTTACGACGTTATCATTATATGTATATCGCTTATAAAAGTATATTGTTTGTCTGCTTATGTGAAAGTATGCATTTAACCATAAAAATGCCGACAACAATAACAATAACAATCGTAGCTATAATTTCAAAAAGAAAAGTCGCGTGATTATCACGTTACGTACAAGTTCTCGTGTCGTTTTATAAACGTGTAAATAAAATTATCGCCACCTCCTTTATTGCACTCTATAAAACTAATCGTAATCATGTGTTCTCTCAAGTATTCAAATTATTAAAGATTTTCTTACAAAGTAATGCCACCAAAAAAAAAAAAAAAAAAAAAAAAAAAAAACAGGCAAACCAGAAAAGAATGCTGCTAACAAATCCATTTATTACATTTCTGTACCTTTCTATACTAAGGGGTGAGGATGCCCTAAACATGTCCCTATATATATCAAATACTTTGGAATTTGCTTCGCAGAGTCTAAAACTCTCGATTAATGCTTGAACTCTAAGCTCAGAGCTGGGGATGCCCTAAATATGTCCCTATATATATCGAATACTCCGGAATTTGCTTCGCAGAGTCTAAAACTCTCGATCAATGCTTAAACTCTTAAGCTGATTTACATCTTCGTGTCTTCCCGTCCTTTTCTATGCTATCGTGAAAGTTTTGAAATTTCAAGATGAAATTAAGAAATCTGACGTGAAACCTGACGTTGCAATAAGTTCGCAATTTAACGCTTGAAAATAAACGTAATCCCATCACAATCACCCTACGATAGGAAAACGACTTTGATTTTTTACTAACTATTGATTTAAAGTTCGATTCAAAAACTTTACATTACCATCAGTAAGTTCGCTAAAATAAAGGATATAATCATATATATCACAGCAGTAGACAGTAGATATCGACTAGTGAGTTATGAACGAGAAAAACTATTCATTTAGATTGGACTATTTTGAGATCTATAGAAGACCTGTTGTGAAATGAATAGCTTGACGTTTCACGCGTCAATCAATAATCAATTTCCTATTCAGACATTGAAGAAATTGTGTGCGCTTGCCTAACTGCTCAGGAGGTGGCACTTTTCTTGCACTGAGAAATGGATCCGAGATAAGTGCTGCATTTTTGTATGCAAGGAAGGTAAAGATAAAAAATTCATTTCATAAAAATCTAAGTTGACTAATACTAGTACTGCTACTACTCTTTCTACTATAATATGAAATATAAAAGATTTGTCCAGTTTTTTGAAGTACTTATCAAAATATTCATCGAGAATATGTACTCTTGAGAAGAATAATAAGATAGATTGATTCAATCATTGATTGAATATTTTGTTATTAACTTGCAATCGAGGTCACAATCTCAAACATTTGTCTAAACAAATTTAACCTTAAAATATTATCAAGCGCATTATATCGGTCCACGGTCTCATCCGTAGTTATTATTAGAAATGGTTGATAATTTTCCAACTATTCCTCCATTATGCCCAAAAATGTTAATAAAATTTTCATGTGAAGTTTGAAAACTGGATAGTTGTGGGGTTTATATGAAATGCTTCCAAAGAGAATTTGAATTTGGAATTGGAATTTTTTTTTCAAAATTTTTACCTTATACCGTGCTTAATGGAAACTCATCTTCTTCTTTTTAGTTGCGGTTTCATCGAACTTTAATCGCATAATGAATTGTGTTTGCACACATATGTATAGAATTTATTTAATTTATATTTAAATTACATTTCGATCATAGTTCTTACCACAAGCAATTAGATAAGCGTTCTGTGTTCTCTATTATGTTAAAATTTCTTAATATGAAAATATTATCACATACAGTTCATCTTTATAATTCCTATAATATATATATTCACAAACATAATTTTATATATATTTATTTATAAATTTATAATCTTTGTTGTTATTTTCCTTTTTTTTTTTTTTTTTTTTTTTTTTTTTTTTTTTTCTTTTTTGTTTCTTTTGCGTATCAGAGTAAAAATTAATTCCTTTAGCTTTGAAACGAAAGTGAATTATCGCTTTTGCACACATTTGTTGGCTAAAAAAAAAAAAAATGCGGTGCGATTTCATGTGATTCGAACAAATGCACAAATGTGCAAACCGGGCGTACATAACGGCGTGCGCACAAGTATTGCTTATAGAGAATCATAATTATATGAAAAATCAGTCGTCCATAAGTGAAGTCATCTATGGTTCATTAAAATGACGCATTATCAATAATTCTTTTCAGTTCATGATTTCTTTCGAATTTTTCATCTCGTTTTACTTGCGGAATGATCGTCGAAAAGTTATCATATATATATACTGTATCCGTTAAGGTATAAAAAGAAGTCAAAAAAATATGTTCGTCTTGCGATGGGACTTCAGCATCAGTTTCTTTTAATATGTTCTCAGAATTAGATTCTTTAAAATATAAAAAAAATTCAATGGCTCTCTCTCTCTCTCTCTCTCTCTTTCTTTCTTTCTTTCTTCCTTTCTCCTAGAGACCTCAATAGATATTTTATAGGGGATAAGACAGAGTGAGAGAGAGTGAGAGAGTGAGAGAAGCTACGCTCAGCCCGCCCTGAGTTCTCTCTTGTACCTATTGCCGCCACGGTTAACTATGCAAGACATAGAAAGATGTAGATTTTACGAAACATGTCACGTATATCGTATATCGTATACATTTCAGGTCAAACTTATTGCACTTTTTAGATAATTCCGAAAATGAATGACTATGACTATGACTATATTCTGACTTATCTATGCTTTTCACTAACCTTCAGACTTGACGAAAGGGATTTATAAAGAAAGAATTTAAGACTCGATATGTGGCTCTCAACTGGAATCCTTTTAATGGTAATTTAGGGAGAAGCAAAAAACTACTGAAAACTTGTATTTACTTTAGAGCTCAATTTAGCGGGCGCTATGATCGGTCACTGGTCATAAGGGCTCGTGACTCTGTGCTCCCTCGTTTTGTGGCTTCGCGTCAACTTTGCTATTCCTATTTATTTCTCATATCAATTTCCTTATAGAATGAGATTGATAAAAAGAAAGAAATTCTTGTGACTGCGTTGCGACTTGTGACTTGTGACAAGACTAGCAAGCGACGTTGTTTATTTTAGAAATATCGACTTTCGTGCGATCGATGAGCAGGTAATCATTTATTAATAAATTAAATTAAAATATCGAATATACCGAATATCGTGAACCCCTCCATTCCACCAACACATCGTGTTCTCGTTTTGTAGACTCATTTATTAATTTTTCGTATATTCATTCAAGTTATCTGCTACGACAAACAGTAAATCTTAATTAATTTAAAATACGCGTAATTTTATTAATAATAAACGACCACAGTTTCAAAGACCGAAGATTTATGTTCCATAAATATTTTAACATAATAACTTACACATTATCATATGATCGTCTCTATTGCCATTGAATGCAAATACGTAAAAGCAAAAGTTTCTAATAAAATTTTAATGATAGACACTAAATCTACGCATAAAACATTTAATGGCACACGCGCTCAAGAATACCCTATGAATTGTCGCACTAGAAATGATGAAAATGTGACGCTTCAGTTATTCTGGTGCAATCAATACGTTAGCGAAAAAATTCTCTCGTATTTTACCGGCTTGAGGTACATTTACTTGCCAGATAAAGGTAACGACGACATGGTGCGTTGCCTCATGTGCTATTTTTATAACTCAGCGTATATTGCGTGGAATGGCACGGGGACTACGTTCAATGCCCTTACTCTTAGTTAGTTGCGAATTGCAGAATAGTGCATCGAATAGAATGGCAGTGGCTAAAGTACATTCAGGATAATGCGTGTTTGAGGGAAGAGACCACACACATCGGTTGTTTACTAAATGTTTACTTATGGCAAACGAATTTGTGAATGTTTGGACCAACAATTATCGTCTGTCTGGGCGAAAATGACATTTTGTGATCTATACGGGACAGTAAACTTCGCACATGCAAAGGAGCTCGGAATACACCATTCGTGTGCTAAGGCACCCAACCAACCGTCCAAATTTCGTGTATTGATTAAACTTTGCTTTTTGATGGAAAATATATACTACTATCAGTGGTCGTACGGACGCTGATGATGCTGAATGCAATCGAAAAGGATTGACCACAAAGGAAAACATCAAAAACTCCTTTACAATCTACAAAATCAATTCATTTATTTATTTATTTATTTTTGATATCTTGACGATGAGCAAACGGGTAGCAACGCTGCACTATCGATCGCCCTAATTTATCACAAAACAAGTAAAATGGGGACAAAACCGACCAATGATTCTAAACTTACTCTAAATGATTATACCGTAAAGCACTTGCGGTACAGGGTATAGTAAGTTTGTGCGGACGTATGTAACACGCAGAAGCGTTTAACATAGATCCACCTTTTATTATATCGATCGATTCAGAATCATTTT